GCTGTATACAATTGATATTGTCTTCAATATGGCAAATTGATGCCATTGTACTCCCAACACAAATGATTGTTTCAATCATTGACTGAACTATATTTTCCGCTTGCTTACAATTTCACAGAACCTTGTGTCGATCAATCCATGATATGCGATGTCGGGTCTGTTCCTTTCTGTCAGTCTGTTGCCATTTTGAAAACCAAATGCCCAGCTCTCTGTGGTGTCTGTAAGTACCTAAGTATCTTGATTCCGAATATTGCAACTGGTCGTGGGTCCTCTCCTCAATTATCTGAATGATCTTTATTCATAACGTTGGAATAAATCTACATATTTGATAAACATCAAAGCGACATTTCCAGATTATTAAAGGATCGACAAAACTATGTGGTAAACAGGCTACTTTTACGTGGACATTCGCTATTTAAATGAAGTTGCGTTTTTCTCATTGTCTTTCTAGGTTCAGTGAACTGGTAAGAGATTGAAAAAGACCAAGAGATTATCTATTTATTTTTTTAATAAGTTGCTGAATATATTGATTTTATAATTTAGCCAGTCAAATTTTTGCTTTTATTTTGAAAGATAATTACTTCGTCGAATTCACGTGTGATGTGGGATTGTCGTGCTTATAATAATCGTACATGGAATGCAGCGGATGTGGCTCTTGGGTACTTCACGAAGGAATTTTCGAATTTGTGTTCAGTTTGTAGAGTATTTCTACACGAGATGCAGACATTCGCTTGTCATAAAAGTACAATCAAGCTGGGCGTTATGGCATTCCAAATTACATAATAGTTCTATCCGAGAAACATCTCAAAATCTACATTGTATGATAATGTAATTATTGTAACTAATGTTTATGTATCACATTTACAGACTGGTATGTATTTTTTATTTTTGAAATTATTTTTTTTTACTAATTTGAATAAACTCTTGGGCGTGACGCCGTGCTCAGTGAACATGTGTAGCATAATTTCGCTCTCTGTATACACACCATGCCAACTGTGTCAGCTTGGCCATTCAGATTAACTATCAGACAATCACATAATGACATAGCCTGTTCATGATCGTAAACACCTCTGTTGACATTAATGACGTACACCATTGTCGCACTTGATGATGACAATGACAATTTATTACCCACAACGTTACCCTTGGAGGTCGTCCTCTCAATTCAAAATTACTGCTATTGGTTTAGTTTGTTCGCACGTTGTGTCATTATACCAATTCTGGGGTATGACATTCACACATCGCAGAATATTCGCCAACGGGTGAAATCTACTGAAAGGACCAGTGAAATTTCTCTCATGCGTGCTATATCTACGCGTATTCGGAGATTTGTGGAAATTGCATCACCAGAGTACAACCCGAAACATTATGGATTTCCGTAAATCTCAGAATTCTAGATAGATTACTATCTACAGAACTCGACATTTTTCATTAGAAACTGTCTGCACTGTACAGAGATTACAAGAGGTGGTACAGCAAACGCACTGATTTTATGAGTTCCCTGTCCCTATAGAATATATAATCAGATCCTGTACATTTCTAGTCGAGGTGTAACGTCCGGAGTTGTCGAGAAAACTCGTCAACTACAAAGTTGGACAAAGGGGTTGAATCCAAATCAACTACTAAGCTATTGCGATTGTCAATGGAGTCTAGAGAAAGTCACTCGAATGACAAGTGGTGTAAATTGAATTATTCAGGATATGTCTACAATATAGCTTTTACATGTGATAAATATTAACACTTGTTTAAGTGCTTGCTGAAAGTGCAGCTTTATATTTAAACTAATAATTTTTGGTAATGTAATTAAACACTTAAGGAGTGTTTATGGGTTATAAATCCATAATTATTCGGATGCTGGTTCTCTTATTTTGTTTTGTCAACTTGCAAGATATGATAGCAATGTTAGTTTCAATTAGTTTAGAACAATTGGCTTGCTACATTGCGCCATACTTTTGGTTTATCGCACTCGTGCAATTATTAGACTAAAGTGTAGTGTAACAAATAAGCAACACTTTCACGTGATCCATTAACAAGCGTGATATAAAAAACAGTAAATGAGACTCCAGGAGTGGTAACTGGCAGTGGGCAAAGGTGGCGCCCTTCAATAAACTAATATTCAATGTATGCATTTCACATGTGACAATTCCAATACGAAAACGCAAACATTGCTAAATACTACAAGGAATAAAACGTGTCAATAGCAAAATCAATATTTAAACGTGAAAATACGGTTCATATATTCGTTTGTGAGTGACCTGATAAATTGTGCTTCTGGGTGAATCCACCGGAGAGGGCGCAGTAACTCGTAACGCTCCCATGGGCGTAGTCCAAAACAAGTTGCATCATTTTTATCAAACTCCGGGGTGAAGCAAGGGTGTAATCTAAAGCCCAACAATATTTGTAATAATACAGGTATTTTCGGCCAAAATGCATTTATACCATCAACTCTACTTAACACCCCAGTCTTCTCTACGCAGGCGATATCGTGATGCTTTCTGAAACAAAAGAGGGCTTGCAGATGCATGTTGAAAACTACCAGAATACACAATAATTGGAAATTGACTAAACACTGTTTCAGATTCCGCAATCACTGTCACAAAATCGATATGGGTAGACACAAAACCTAAAACTCAGACGAATGTTCGTCTTATGTACTGTTATGGAAATTAAACACTTCGTAACGTCATGCAAATAATACGGAACAGCAAACAACGCAGCAAAAGTAATTAAGTTTCACTGTTTTGGCGAAAAACAACGAATTCTCCGGAATCATGAGTTCATATATAACATTTCTTAATATCATGTTAGCGAAGTACATATAAAAATGTGTATGTATAATTCAGTAACTTCTAGACCGAGCGCAACAAACTCCGTCAATACAAAATTTAAAAAAAAATAAGATTAATTCAAATATCCTTCCTTATGTTCAAATTCCCATTATGCCATTTTCCCCTAACCTTTATTTCTTAATTTTGTAGCTTTATCGTTCGTAGTCGTGTTGTATTTGTATGTCTTAGTTTTTTAAAGATCTGCACCTTTCTGTGTCATTATTATACATATTGTCACATACTATTCTAAAAAAAAAAGATTTTCCCTGGCGTAAACTTTAAAAGACATAGTAGATGAAAATGTATGTGTATGCAGTGTACATCAGATAAAACAATTAAAATCTGAATTCCATATAAAAGATCATCAATGGGTCGTATTTATATTCGCGTTACAAGCGCCTGTGATCTTATAGTCTCGCATATATCACATAAGTGGGCGTGCCCATTATCACCACCCCAGCCAAAATAAACATCAGCCTAGTATATCTATTTAAATGTCTCATTATGTGTCGTATACGGATGAGGTTTAGACATTTGCGAAAAAGGACGGTACTAATTTCAATTCACCTTTTATCTTCCATGGTTCACCTGCCAAAAAATGAATGTGTTAAATTTATTCTTGCGAACGAGGATTTGCCGCCATATTGGAATTAGTCCACGTTGAGCTACCGGCATGATATGCGTTTTGCCTCGAAACTGAAGCTTGCATCATCTTTCATAAAAACAACACTTTGTCATAATTGCCCTACCCGCTGTTTCACAACTACTGATCAGTTGTTCAAGTTACCAGCAAATTGGGGCTCTGGAAAATCTAGACGAAAGCTCGCGTTACTAAAGCTAAAGTACGGAGAAGATTACCTGAAGTTCACGATGTCCGGAAGTGAAGCTGTCAACTTGGAGGAAATCCTAGCCCCTCTCAGGATCGCTGTCAAGGAGCAAGTAAGTCGAATCTATATTTTGCAAATAATTAAAATTCGGAACTGTCTAACATTTCCAAGATGAAAAATGATGGGAGATTATAAAACAAAGCGACAATTATACGCAATATGGTTGGGACATTCGGGGTCGTGGGGCCGAATGATCAGCGGGAGGAGGCCTTGCTGCAGTTTATGCAGCTCTCTTGGTCGTGGTATACGTTGCGGGGCGATGGCCGCAACGTAATATCAAAATAGCTTGAGCGGCCAATAAGAGCTGCTAAACTGCAGCAAGAGGAGGCCAAACTACAGGACTGTATTCAGGGCTAGGTTGGGACACAGAAACTTGACATGTCAGCCCTGAAGTTGACCTCTAAGCTCTATTGATCGTCGACAAGTGCATCATAACCCTGTATTTAATGCCGAAAACATTATACAATATGATTAACGATTTTGTTGACAGATTTTAAACCTATTTGGCGTACGTAACGCATTATATCCATCCATACATTAATTATGACGGCTGTTAACTAGCATATAATTTTTCGGGTGACTGAATAGGGAATATTAAATTGTATTAATAATATTCAATGACTTTCTTTGCCAACTCATAATAGTTCTATAGAATCAGCAAGACAAATGAATGAGGAATGTTTTAATAATTTAATTTTGGTGTTCAGTTATACATGTTTTTTTATTGCTGTATTTTATTGTATTTGGACACCTGTCAATCAAATTATAAAATTACACATAATTTGTGTCAAACTTGTATGATCTTAATTAAACCATGGCTTTGAGTATAATAAAGGAAAGATTGTGACCAGACTTTATGCAAATTGCACTTGATTAATACTGTAAACCGCTTAAATTTCGTGGCTAATGTTCGCGATCACAATCAAACTTCACACATGATATTATACATATGCACGTCAATTTGTTTGACGATCTGATTTAAGATGGCCGAATGGCGGCCATTTTTGTGCTAAAAATCATCAAAATCAAGCATTTCCCAGCTGTTTATAGATGGATTTTGTTCAAATCTTGTATATACGTTGGACATTATAGGACCTTGATGCACAACATGTTGTTTTACGATCTGATTTAAGATGGCCGAATGGCGTCCATTTTTGTGCTGAAAAATCCTAAAAATCCAGCATTTCTCGGCTGTTACATTATGTTACATTATGACATTATGGGCCCTTCATGCAAATAATTTTGTTTTATCAGATAAA